TACTGACAGAGTCCCTTATTAGGAGAAAAGGCTCGTGAAATTTTCAACATTAAAGAGACAACAGCTATATTTCCTACAGGTATAGACAAGGCATGCCGGGCAACAAAACAGCTTGCCATGCGTAATATTGGTAGCTCCATACTCGGCATGCTTGGTTTCCTGCAAGAGAGAATGATTCTTACAGAAGACGAAAAGTTCAATTATTGCTGTAATTTTTGTCTCAGAGGCTTGATTATCTGCAAGTTAGATGTGAAATGTCTAGAAACATTTCTAGGTTATAAGAAATTAATTTATGAAAGCTGAAACATTTAGTTTGAATAATATTTATAAATACAATTTTTATTTATAGTAATACAAAGAGAAACTCCAAATAGCCTGATTCCATCAACTGATTCTATGTACATTATCATAATTGGGGACGATACTATAAATCAGGATGTATTAAATCAGGAAGCTATTAAACCAAGAGTTCAAAATGGTGAAGTTGAAATCATCCCTTCGTAAATTTTACGGACGCCATCACGAGTTGGTTGACCGTTATGGAATAACCGTTTCACAAATGATATCGGATATGTTTCTTACGTCGTAACTACAATTCCCTTCCCTTTCATGAATGTGACCTACCGAATTAGACTTTTTACCGGATTTGTTATCACATAAGCAACACGACGGGTGCCACATGTGGAGCAGGATCTGCTTACCCTTCCGGAGCACCTGAGATCACCCCTAGTTTTTAGTGGGGTTCGTGTTGCTTATTCTTTAGTTTTCTATTATGTGTCATGTGTACTATTGTTTGTCTGGTTTTTTTTTTTCATTTTTAGCCATGGCGTTGTCAGTTTATTTTCGATTGATGAGTTTGACTGTCCCTCTGCTATCTTTCGTCCCTCATTTTGATATTTTTGGCCCATCTGAATTGCTGACAATTATTTCGTGTTCTCATTTTATTTATAGCTAATTAATTGATTTTTTGCCCCAATATAAAAGTCTCCAATACAAAATGCAGTAAAAATAGTCGATCTGACTCCTGGTGTAGTCTATCTTTCTATAAAAACAAATATTAAAATGAATATTTCTTAAAATTTTTGGTTCGAATGGAAATAACTCAATGATGAGAAAATAGTATATTTGAATACCATAAAGATGAAAAATCAAAAATGAGAGTACATCATATCATGAAAAGTGAACTTGATGACTAAGGAAACAGCATATCAAAATTTAAAAAAAGGGAATTTTCAAAGCCTTTGCATGTAAATGAGCTGACACTATTTAGTTACCACCCTCCAAACATGCATCTTCAAAACAATAACAGATTTTTCATTTCAATCCCAGCTAAACACAAAAATAATTGCAACAAATAAACATTATGTCATAGAACACACATCTGTCTGAAAAGAAATCAAAAAGTGAAAATTCAAAACATGGTTTTGATAAAGCCCTTGATAATCTCAATGATCCAGTGGCAGTCCAAATTCCCCTCGACCATTATCTCGAATGGCCTCTATTATGACAAGACCTACCTATTGTATTTATTGTCAACTTGTCCTGAAAATGCATGAAATATTTGCCACTGGACGTTAAACAACCAACAATCGATCAATCAATTCCAAATGGGGAAACAATTGTCTAAACAATAGATTAACATTAAAAGTTCTTTGGCTAAATCCACAAAAGGCAATTAGTTATTTTTCTCAGCTCCAGGATTTTCCTTTCTTACGTGTGTAGAATTGCTTTACGTAATTTTGTTGCACTAATAATTTTTTTTTGACGGGCCTTGCGCCAACAATCTATTGATTGTCATATTGACTTGGCTGCTAGTGAGTGGTACTAGTTGATTTTCACCGTCACTCTTCGGACAAGTTGTAAATACGCTTCTGTCTTTATCAGGTTTAAAATGAAGAATCCTCTTGCACATTTTGACAAATAAATGACATTTTTGCAGGACAAGTAGATTGAGAGCCGGATCAGTAGATTTTTAAGATCTTCTTCGGTCTTCTACCGACCGGCAGTAAAACGCTTGCCGAAGTGGAGCGTCCGTTTGGTTGTGCGGGATGTATCAAGTTCGCAGTCACGTGCGGTCAAAATGGGGACGTTAAAGCCGATGCCTCGTGTCAAAAGAGTGCCACGCTCTTTGCACATTAAGAATCCTTGCAACAACTCTTTGAGGGGTCCGTAGGTGGCCTGTTGCAAGGCTAAATTTCTGTCCCTATCCAATATACCCTTATTTTCCAGTGGCAATCCAAATTTCTCCGACCATCATCCCAAATGGCCTCTGTTATGTCTAGATCTACCTATTGTATGTATTGTTAACTTGTTCTCGTCCTGAACATGCATAATATATTTGCCACTGGACGTTCAGCAACCAACAACCAATCAATCCATGTCCACTTTTAAACAACACATTCCACATCAATTTTATGTAATAGCTTTTGATCCATCCAGTCATATGAATTTTTATAATAGACAATTAATGGGGAGAATACGACATCAAAAATGTCGAACCCTTTCACATTTACTATAAAATATACATGGTCCATGTCAGAAACCTTTAAACTAGTCGCTTTTCTCTTATTTTATGTTTTTCAGCCAAAATAAGGTCCAAACAAAAATTTGCGTCGCTTCGCTAGGAGAAATATTCATGTACGTCCCCTTTTCGAAAATCCTGGATCCGCCCCTGAGGTGTCTCAATCTGTTTTACATTTTATTGACGAAAACTTGTACCAATTATAATATCATCCAAGGCCGTCGGAAGGGGCGGTACGTAGGGTTTGATCGGACGCCCTCTTTCAAAACAAATATATATATATATGTATACATTTAAGAATTTTCAAGCAAGGATGAGCACTTGTCTTCCACGCTGACGGGTAAGCGCCAGGATAAGACACACATGATACAGTTTGTGTGAACATCTTTGCTATTATATAGAGAGTCGGCAAATTTCATTATATCTACCAACTCATAATTGCAATTTATGAAAAGAAGTACGTACGGTAGTCTTAAAGAAAAGATTCTCCTAATCTCAAAGTTGTTTATTAGTGTCAAGTGTTTTTCAGAACAATAACTGGTCTTATTTAGATTATATACTTCAAACCTCATTTCTGAGACTGATTTATTTGCTTTTTGATTATATAATATATAAAACATCCACTGGAACAACGCAAATGGCAAAATTAAGGGTACTTTATTCACATGATTTGCACCGCTTGACTTTGGCCCTTTTGATTAAATTACTTCCTTTAGTTTAAATTGAAAATATAGATTATATAAAATTTGCGGATAACCCAGTTCTTTTCCGTCATGGATCTTAAACTAATGTTTCTTTGAAAACTTCCTTTGCGGAATATTTACAAAAAAAATTGTGTAATTCTAATGTAAAATGCTGAAAATTTGACTTTTTTCAAAATGGGAAGGTTGAAATCATTATATTTTTATAAGGATTTAGCCAAAAACTTAAGAAAGCAGGGAAGTGTAATGTTAGTTAACTTTAAAATTCAACATACAAGGTGTTTCCCTATATGTGGACAAATCATGAACAATATCTTCTTGTATCTTGATTTCTGTTTTTAAACGTTGCATTTTGTACGATTTTATACGATTTTTAATATAGCAATCATTCTACAGTTACGCTTCCGATTTTCAAACTGAAAAGGCCGAAAATTTTCAAAGTAGACGTACATTTGTACACAATCAGAACCATAAAACATGTTCAATTCACATATATGCGGACAAATTGTTGATACAGTTTAGGAATTGGCATATTGGCATTTCTATATAAGGGACATATATAATCCTATTGTAATGGCTGCCGTCACGATAAGGCAAAATGGCCGATATGCAAAATAGCAAAGTACCCCAAATTTTGCCATATGGGTGTTTCGGTAGCGACATCCCTGAATGCCTCTTGACAATAAATGGGGCGTTTCAAAATAGTTTGACTACGGTTATACACACTTTTATGAAGTGCAAAATTACAAGAATGTTAATGATTATAATTAATTGAAATACTAATTAGAATTTGTGTCACCGGGGTACTGAGATAACATATATATATATATATCATCTAGAACACAATGATACAAGTTATAAATCAAGGCAGGTAACAATTACTGTAGAAAAAGAAGTAGAAGAAAATAGGGGGTGTTTATGAACTTGGATAGTATGATTATACCAACACCTACTTATTAAACAAGACGACTAGTAAACCAACCGCTGTATAATTTCATTTAATAAAAACTTATGCCCATATTCCCTTTATTAAATATATTACATGTAGTTTTATTTCCCTAAACATTACATTTAACATTCCGTTATTCGTAGCTTGTACTAGTACCTTTTTTAAATTAATTATTCAAAAAGTAAACATGGCGGGCATGTTTAAACCGTAAAAAATTTCAAAAAGTAAATGTGTAGTTAACGCTTATTATAAATAATGGAACTTGATGAATCCATTCAGCGATCAATAGTGACACAAACATTAGAAAATGAATCCCGACAGATGAAAAATAAGAAGCTTAAAGATGCCGGGAACACATAAGGATTCAATGTTTTACAGAATGTACCATATGACGGGAATTGGTTTTTTTTTCATGCTGTTGGCCTGCTATGTGGGAAAGATGGGCTTCTTTTTTCAAGAAGAAAGCTTCTCCACCAAAAAAAGTCTGCAGTGCAAAGTCTTTATTTTAGCCAGAGGAATGCAATGTGATTTAAAATTATAATTAGACGTTTTTACTTTGTCTATACCTTATACTCATTGCTATAAGTTGAGCATTGCTTATTATGCTTGTTTCAAAAATTCTAATAGGGAACATACTTTACATTATTGTAGCAATTAACCAATTTTGAAGACGTTTATTTAAGCTTTACTTTTTAGTTATTTTGCAATTATGTGAACATTTCATGTCGGAAAATGTTCATCATTTGCTCCCAAAATTTTGGCTTGGTTTTCATGTTCATCATTTGCTCCCAAAATTTTGGCTTGAAGCGTGTCTGATGATGGTTATTAAGTAGTAGTCCGCCTAAGAATCAGGCAGATACCAAATAATGTTAGGAACATGAATTTGGTCAATCTGATGCATTATTTGTATATAAACAGTTATTCTCAACCACTTTCAGCTGACATAGTTAAAAAAGTGGTATATATTATAATTTGTCTATTTTAGCATGTCAGATTGTGCCCTAATGCCTTTAATAATGTACTATAAAAGTACTGAAATATATATTTTTCATTGAAAAAATACTTGAAAAAACAAATGGGAAACCTTAATATCTTTACAAATTAAGAAAATAAAGTGTCATATTTTATTAAAACAATAATTGTTTCTGTGTGTTTTTGTCTCATTAGTACACATATTGTCCTTACAAAAAGACTGGACAATGCTAAAAATAGGTTAGAGTTATCTCCCATTACCCACAATGCAATAGATTTCAACAATGGCAGCCCCCATGGGCTCCTGCTCAATTGGATTTTTTGCCTCAACAAAGTGTGGAATATCATCACTGCACCCTTCACATACAACTTTATCAAGATTAAAGGACTGCCAGAGGAATATCCAAGCTCATTTGTTGAAAGTTGGATTGAATGCAGGTGTAACAGGAGTAGCAGACGTCACATACGAGGGGGAACTTATTTCAAAAAGAGTGGGTTTGTTCACTGTTGAGAGTGACTTCAGTGTTTGTCCATATCATAGAGATTTCCTTGGAATAAACTGGAGACAAAAGGCTTTGTGCCAATATCCAATTCATGAGGGAAAGGCCAAGCCTTATCGGAGCTTTACAACGGCCATGAGCAGACGAATGTTAGCCGACTTTGGTGTATTTGTGCCCATTGGCTCTGGTAAGTACAATGTACTTTATTTTGTTTGTATTCCAATTCATTAATTATATTGTCAAATATATACATGTTTGTTCATAACTGATGCATTGAGTTTGTTTGGTAACAAACGTTTGAAATCTTTAAAACAGGTTCAGTATGTTGACATTTTCAAGGACACTTCTCCCTAAGTAACTGATAATATACATATATGTGTATTTTAAAACAAAGTGCACATTTTTATATTGACAAATTACCCATACATGTACCTTAACATTCTCATTTTTTTTGTATTAACATATGCCCCTACATGAACTTTATTTTTGAAATCTGCCATGTCATATGATAAAGTTGTGCATGCAGGTTCTGTAGAGGCATTTAAGACTGCCCTACAAGAACACCCATAACAATGGGGCTCTTCTCCACTTTGTATAAAAGCCATAAGCCCATAACAGGATTCTACACATACCAATACAGATACAGATACCCTCCCCCTTTTTCCACCACAAACCTGAACCCCCAAAAAATAAGTTTTACATTATATAACCACAGTTTTTTTTTTATAGGTGAGGATCAAGTATTTTGAAAGGGGGACATAGCAAGTTAATGTTTTCACTTTTGATTGATACTTGTAAAAGTTTATGCATAAACATGATGAAGTTTATCATTTACTTTCAAATTTTCAAAAGTTCAGAATGTATCACCTCCTCTAAATATCCAAAATACATCTAAATATATACTTATATAATATGAATGTTTCTTAAATCTTTAAGTTTTATATGTTTGTAAATATTGTTTATGCTTCTCTTGCAAATGTCTTGGTTTTGGGATTTTATACCAATTAAATAATTTAATTTGACTTAGACAGTACATGATTTTTTAAATAAAGTATTTATTATTATAAGCTACATAATGGAACCCCCCTCCCCCAACTTAAATGCTTCCTATCAAAATTGATTTTGTCCCCATATTTAAGCTGAATATACATGATATATAATCCATTATGACATAGACATAAATATATATTCTTTATATGAATTTTATGCATTCTTTTTTCTTTTTCTTTCAAGGAATATGCAGAAAATGTAATGGAGAATACTTGAAAGCATATACATCATGTACAGAAAAAAAGGTAACATAGTTTTATTACATATACCAATAGAAAACAAAATGTAGGTATAACTGCAAACGGTTTGGGTTTTCTTATACAGTATCTCCACTACCGGAGGGTTATGATTCTTTTTCTACACTTCATGTGAGGTGGATGATAATTCTGATCTATGTAAATAAATTGCTAAAGGAACCACCATTAAAATTGCATTGAATTTATCATTTATTTTTATACAACCGCAAAAAAATTTTTGGGATCGTATAATGGTATGATGTCGTCGTCCGAAGACATATTGGTTTCCGGACAATAACTTTAGTTTAAGTGAATGGATCTCTATGAAATTTTTTTAGAAGGTTGAATACCACAAAAGGAAGTTGGGATTTATTGAATCATGTGAGGGAGAATTAAAAAAAAAAAGATGTTTTTAATGACAATACTCTCAATCAGAAAATTAAGTAGCTTCAGGTCTGTCATTTTATTTTTGCTACCTATACATGCTATATACAAACATGATAAACTAGGCAGTTAGTCTTCTCAATTGAATAGTTTCATAATTTTTATGTCAGGGCCTTTCATAACAGACTATATGATATGGGGTTGGTTGAAGGCCGTACAGTTGCCTCAGCCTGTAATTGTTTTTATCCAATTCATTTAAACTTTGTTTGATATTTGTCTCATTAACCAATTACATGTACCTGTATACCATATCTCATTAGTTTTTGTATGTACATGTATGTATATGAAATACAATAAAAAGATGCAGATGTATGCCGGCATATTGTTTATGACATAGTATACAATAGACATGATAGAATACCAACATCTGCACCTTGAAATTTGCAGTAAAATATAATATGCCATAATATTAAATGTTAGTAAGAATTGATTGCTTTTTTTCATATGATTTATTGTCTTCACTTTGTAAATTGTATCAATCAAAAATTAAATATAATCAATGATAAGCATTGTATTTTTTATGTAGGATATCAATGGCAATTGCATGGATATAGAGATTGATGATCCAAATGAAGACAAACCTAATGTTAATAAATTTGTAAGTATATTTTAGTGTGGCACACATACATATATCATGTATATTGTTCAGTATGATGAAGTAGTAAGCAGGTGGGTGAGGGGAAACAGGGTAGATAATTTTTACAATTAAATAAGAGCCAAATGATGTTACATGTGTATGCAGTTATAAAAGGTTGGTGAAAAATATATACAAAAGGAATATTCAAACTCATAAATTGAAAACAAACATATCATGAGGGAAAGAATTTTTTTTTTGGAAGAGGGGAGGGGGCAATTTTTTTTCTCAATTCAGATTTCAGAAATTAACAAATAAAATTTCTTCCAATATTTTTTTCTTGTTGGCAAAATAAAGGGTGAGGGGGAGGGGGTAACAAATTTATTTTTTTGGAGAGGAGGGGGGTCAATACGCAACAGCATAGTGTATTGCTTAAAAGCAAAAAAAAAGGGGGGGGGGGTTCAATTCGCAACAGCATAGTGTATTGCACAAAAGCAAAAAATTGAATATATAAATATAAATTCAAATCATATAACCAATTCTAAGTTCTTTGATTACAGTTAATCTGTGTCAGAAACCTATTATTGTAAAATATTTAATTACAATCCAAATTCAGACATGTATTAATATAAGCGTCGCCAGTAAAACTGCATTTGTGACAGTCAAATCGACAATTGACCGTGGCAACTCTTCAACTACAGTACTGTTATTCCTTCAGTGTGCTTATCAGTCTATATGATTGTGACCTCATTTTTTTGTTTGTTTTCCAATGCTAAGTTTTAGTTTTTATACGACCGCACAAAAATTTTGCGGTCGTATATTGGTATGGCGTCGGCGTCGTCGTCCTAAGACACATTGGTTTTCGCACTCTAACTTTAGTTTAAGTGAATGAATCTCTATGAAATTTTACCATAAGGTTAAATACCACAAAAGGAAGGTTGGGATTGATTTTGGGAGTTATGGTACCAACAGTTAAGGAATTAAGGGCCAAAAATAAGCATTTTTGTAACTTCCAGACATAACTTGTGTGTTAGTACATGGATCTCTCTGACATTGTACCACAAGGTTCCATATCACAAAGGGAATGCTGGGATTGATTTTGGGGGTAATTGCCCTAAACGTTTAGGAATTTGGGGCCAAAAAACAAACATTTTTCTAGTTTCCAGACAATAAATTGTGTTCAAGTGTATGGATCTCTCTGAAATTGTACTGCAAGGTACCATACCTCCACATTTTAGGAATTAGGGGCCAAAAAGGGGGCAACAAACAAGCATTTTTCTAGTTTTATGAAAATTACTTGTGTGTAAGTGTATGGATCTTTCTGAAATTGTACTACAAGGTTCCATATCACAAAGTGAAAACTGGAATTGAGTTTGGGGGTAATTGCCCTAAACGTTTTGGAATTTGGGGCCAAAAAACAAGCATTTTTCTAGTTTCCAGACAATAAATTGTGTTCAAGTGTACGGATCTCTCTGAAATTGTACTGCAAGGTACCATTACCCAAAGGGAAGGTTGGGTTTGAGTTTTGGGGGGATGAATCATAAGGGGGTTCAAAAAAATTGAGGGGGGATTTTTTTTCCTTTTTTTTCTATAAAAATTTTCCATTTTAAATTGGTTATTTCTGATTTATAAATAAAAGCAAAATAATAATGATATGGTTTGAATAGGTAAATTAAAAATGTTTAAGTTCTTAGACCACATTCATTCTGTGTCAGAAACCTATGCTGTGTCAAATATTTAATCACAATCCAAATTCAGTGCTGTATCAAGCTTGAATGTTGTGTCCATACTTGCCCCAACTGTTTAGGGTTCGACCTCTGCGGTCGTATCAAGCTGCGCCCAGCGGAGCATTTTATTTTAGTATATGTAAGGAATGAAACAGGTGAGAAATTTTAGCAGTTGCACTCTTGTTTTTTAGGACATGTAGGAGTAGATTTGTATAAGAGAAATATATTGTTGTTACAAAAGTCAAATTTAAGTCAACAAACTTGCTTTCTCTATATTGTAGTCAAAATTAGTGGCTACAACAGATGATGAAGATGAGCATTGTAACTATACACTTCGCACGAGAAAGACAAATTCATCTACCCTTGATAAGGTAAGTTAGTCACTGTAATCATAACACATTTAAGAACAATATAACCAAATAAAAAAGGTTGAAAACTTCTTGCAGAAGAATTGTATCCATCCAGATAACTTCATATTCATGGAAATTAATATTATCAGACATATAACATTAGAAAATGAATGCGCTTATTTATCTGTATATCTTGAAATAATTCTCGCTTAAATTTATAAAAAAAAAATCTCTCTTACAAACGATGTGTTATTTGGTCCAAGACAAACAGAAAGAACCCACATGAGAAGCAGCATTCAACAGTTGAACACAAGATAAAAAAATACTATTTCAATTATTTAAAAAAAAAAAATGTGGATAGTGTCCACATGTGGACACAGATGATGCCTCCGCTTGAATATCATATAGTTATAAAGGGACATAACTGAAGAACGGTAAAAAGACGCTACCCAAATTTGAACTTGATCTGAATTTTGTGGTAATAAGCATTGTGTGTAAGTCTCATAACATTTGGTTGAGGCTAACTTAAGTAGAGAACAGAAACTAAAAATTCAGCAATTTTTCTATTTGTAAACACGCATAACTCTAGAACGGTTGTGTATAAGTTTTATAATATTTGGTTGAGACAAGCTAAAGTTAGAGAACGGAAATGAAAAATTCAGCAATTTTTTATGTTTATAAAGGGACATAACTCAAAAATGGTAAAAGTGTCGCCACCGAATTTCGTACTTAATCTGTATTATGTAGTAATAAGCATTGTGTATAAGTTTCAGGTTGAGGCAAACTAAAGTTAGAAAACGGAAACAAAAAATTTGTACTTGATCTTAGTTTTGTGGTAATGAATATTGTGTATAGGTTTCATAATGTTTGGTTGGGGCAAACTTAAGTTATAGAATGGAAACTAAAAATTTTGCAATCTTTTGATTTATAAAGGGGCATAACATAATAATGGTTAAAGTGACACTACCCAAATTCAACTTGATCTGTGTTTTATCTGTGGAAGTCAAAATTAAACATTGCATTGTATAAAGCATTGATTGTAGTTGATTCAACTATAATCATGGACAAAGGAAGATAACTCCAATTTTAAAAATTACTTGATATTTAGAAGAAAATAAAAATTTTGCAATGTTCCCATTTATAAAGGGGCATAACTCTAGAACAGTTAAAGTGACGCCACCAAAATTCAAACTTGATCTGTGTTTTGTGGTAATAAGTATTGTGTATAAGTTTCATAACATTTGGTTGAGGCAAACTTAAGTTAGAGAACGGAAACTAAAAATTTTGCATTTTTTCCATTTATAAAGGGGCATAACTCTAGAACGGTTAAAGTGACGCCACCAAAATTCAAACTTGATCTGTGTTTTGTGGTAATAAGTATTGTGTATAAGTTTCATAACATTTGTTAGAGGCAAACTTAAGTTAGAGAACGTATTTTGCAATTTTTCCATTTTTAAGGGGCATAACTCTAGAACGGTTAAAGTGACACCACCAAAAATCAAACTTGATCTGTGTTTTGTGGTAATAAGCATTGTGTATAAGTTTCATTACATTTGGTTGAGGCAAACTTAAGTAAGAGAACGGAAACCAATTTTGGGACGTACGTACGTACGTACAGACGGACAAGGGTAAAACTTAATGCCCCCACCGCTACGGCGTGGGCATAAAAAGCTCTATAACAACATGAACAATATGACCTCTCATATAAAACAAAAAGTAAGACCAGATGCTCCTGACTAGTCAGCATTACTTGTTGCATGTATGGTACCTGTCATGTAGGGCAGCACCAAACACAACTTTTATTGCGAAACTATGGTTATCACAATACTATAATAAATACATGTACATGCAGCATAAGCTTTGACAAACATCTTACAACATTGTATAAAAAAGTACAAATGTAATATAATGAACTCCCTTTTGATTTTTATAAATTTTAGACTATACGTTTCCGATTTATGGGGCTTTATTCATTACAAAAATGGGGATTTTCCAGTTTTCGGACAATAACTCAAAAGTTATGAAACTTTGGTAAATTTTTTATATCTATTTTTGTAAGCTCCCTTTTGATATTTATAAATTTTTGAATTCAGGTTTCCGAGTTATAGGATTTTATTTGTTTATAGTCTGACAACAGATTAAAATGAGATTTACTAAGCATTGCGCAACAGTACAGTGTTTTGCACAACAGCAAGAAATCTTTAATTGAATATAAATTCAATTCATATAACCATGATTACCAATTTCAAGTTCTTCGACTACATTTATTCAGAAACCTATAATATGTCAAATATCTAATTACAATCCAAATTCAGACCTGTATCATGCTTGAATATTATGTCCATTTTTGCCCCAACTGTTCAGGGTTGGACCTCTGCGGGGCGTATCCAGCTGCGCTCAGCGAAGCTGTTTATTCTAGTTTCCAGACAATAACTTGTGTGTAAATGTATGGATTTTTCTGAATTTGTACCATAAGGTTCCATACCAAAAAAGGAAGGTTGGGATCGATTTTGGGGGTTATGGCTTTTTCTGTTTAGGAATTAGGGGCCAAAAACAATATTTGTATAAATTGTTTATTTCTTGACCAATTTCAATGGGGTTTTATTCTTGAATTTTTGGGGTTCTTTAATATGCTGAATCTAACCGTGTATAACGTTTTTGGATTTTGGGCCCTGTTTTTAAATTGGTCCACATTGAGATCCAAAGGGTCCAAAACTAAAATTTGTTTGATTTCATTAAAAATTGAATTATTAGCGTTCTTTGATATACGAATCTATCCGTGTATTTAGATTTTTGATATTTGGTCCTGTTTTCAAACTGGGATACATTAAGGTCCAAAAGGTCCAAAATTAAACTTAGTTTGATTTTAACAAAAAATATTCTTGATTTCTTGGGGTTCTTTGATATGCTGAATCTATACATGTATTTAGATTTTTGATTATGGGCCCAGTTTTCAAGTTGGTCCAAATTTGGGTCCAAAATTAAACTTTTTGTGATATCAACAAAAATTGAATTATTGGGGTTCTTTGATATGACGAATCTATTCATGTATTTAGATTTTTAATTTTTGGTCCCGTTTTCAAATTGGTTTTCATTTAGATCCAAAGGGTACAAAATTAAACTTAGTTTGATTTTAACAAAAATTTAATTCTTTGGGTTCTTTGATATGCTGAATCTAAACATGTATTTAAATTTTTTATTATGGGCCCAGTTTTCAAGTGGGTCCAAATCGGGGTCCAAAATAAAACTTTGTTTGATTTCAACAAAAATTCAATTATTGTGGTTCTTTGATATGCTGAATCTAACTGTGTTTGGGTTTTGGGCCCTGTTGTCAAATTAGTCAACATTGAAGTTAAAAGGGTCCAAAATTACACTTTTTTTTTTTTTAAAAGATAAACTTTGTTTGATTTCTGACATCAAAAATATAATTAATGTTAGTCTTTAATTTGATATGCTGAATTCTAACCATGTATATTAAGAAATTGTTGAACATCCTTACATATGATATTGTTTAGGTCTTTTTGAATGACAATTGTTACCTGCATGATTTTCTATTTATAGAATTTATACACATATTCACAAGACAGTGAGGGGCAAGTTAGTACAGTGTGCAGCAGTCAAGATTCAAGTTGGAGCCAAGGGGACGAAGCATTGCCTCTTAAAGAAATCCAAATTGCTGATATCAACAAGGCTATTTATGTTCTAGGTCAAGGTTGTATCAGTCCACTCAGATCAAAGCTGAACACAAATATAGATGAAGCAAAAGACAGAACCATCCGATACTACAAAAGAAAGGCTGAGGAAACATCTGAAGCTCTATATAATGCTATTGCACCTAAACAAGGAACTAAACTAAGGAGAATTTCTGATCAGGTTCCAGTAACGAAAGGTGATGATGACCTTCTTCATGTTGTTTCCCAGATGTGCAAAAGTATAAAGGATGCAGATGTAAAGTGTCAACTTTTGTCTCTTGTTGTGAACCAGTTTTCAAAGACTGATTTGTTGACATGGATTCCTGAGATCACAAAATATCAAATAGATAAAGCCAGAAAACATGCATTTGTTAATGGTCCTGGCTCATGTATACAATCTTCAAAGACACAACAACATAGACAGAGAATAAACTATGCCATGTTACAGCATGCTGTAGAATTCTTCAGTGACCCATCTTTCAACCAAATATCATCTTACACTACCCATGACCTAAAATTAGACTCTGGAGATATTCTTGTTATCCCAGATGTTGTTAGAACAGTCATCCATTCAAACTTGATTAAACTGTATAAACTCTACTGTGCCGACAATGATTTCAATCCTCTAAGTGACTCAACACTGTATCAAGTTTTGAATGCATGTGAAGCATCCAAAAGGAAGTGCCTTAAGGGTTTAGACAACATTGCTGTAGATGGCACCACAGCATTTGACAACATTTTGTCCTTAATTTCCAAGCTGAACAAAACAGAGGACTGGAAGAGTACAGTTAAGAGCAGACTTTTAAATAGCCGACTGTACTTAAAAACAGATTACAAACTGCATATAAGAAGAGAAGATGAATGTGCCTTCCATTGCCTGCAGTATTCATTAAGTGATCCAAAAGTTGGTGCCCTTAGTGTTGGATGTGAACATTTGCATCAAAAGGCATGCGACAGATGTCTGCTGCTTGGAGATATTGTTGAAGAAGTTCGGTTGGCCATTTTATCCAGCTGTCCAGAGGATCAAGAAGCTTTCCTCCAAGACCTGGAAATATCAACAAGGCAGATTGAGGACTGGAGATCTCACATCTTGAGAACAATCAACCAAGATGATGCCAGGTTTGATCTTCTGAACAGCATACAAGGCAATGAAGTAATTATTATCATGGATTGGGCAATGAAATACCTTCCACAGATGTTTAGGGAAAGAATGAAAGATTTCTTTGGTCAAAAAGGGATGCACTGGCATGTGTGTGTTGCCATTTTTAAAGATGAAGACAACAGTTTAAAGGTAAGAGTAATATTATTTAAATGATAATCCTATTTACCATTATAATGAAACTAAATGTCATCAAACATGGCAGCCATTATTACTGAAAATTTGAAATATATATGCAACAAAAATCTTTAAAAACTCTGTAAACAAAAACATTACATTACAAAAATTATTATTGACCCAACAGCTAAAAGTGGCACATTGATTAGGAAAAACTACAAGTAATGCAAAAAAATTAAAAATCTTTAAAAAAACAATTGTTACTGAATTTCATGGAAATAATTCACCAAGCTTGGCCACCACTATTCCTTAAAGGTGTAATACCACCATTGATTTTCCCCTATTAGTCTTTGTTAAATTTGCACTTTTCAAAAAATTGTGCATAATGTATCTTTTTTTCAAATAAAGAAATACTTGGCATGAATAAAGTTTTATCATGTCCAGTACTATAGAAAAAATTTCACATAACATTTCATTGCATATCAGAAAATAACCATCACTGGAAGTTAACCAATCAAATTTTCCCCCTTTTTAAACCTGTGTACAAGCTTTAGTAACCATGTAACCTCAAGTTTCCAAAATATTCTATAGAAACCCCAAATAAAAAAAATAATGGTGCTTTGAAATACCCAAGATATATGTTTAAGACCCAGAAATGTTTTACTGCAATGAAATGTAGGATCAATTACCTAGGACTGTCAAATTCAAGGGAATATTTTTTTCGACCTATTTTCGTATGCAACCGGATGTGACGTACTATGATTTGGTGGTATTACACCTAAACAAACATTTTTTTCCGAAATGATTGGACAGTAACATGATGGCTGCATGGAACATAGTTAGGGAACCAACAAACCCTATGGGAACATTTTTTAAGTACACATGTATGCTTTCACCAATCTGAACCAAACTTGATAAGAATGATATTTGAAAATTCAATAAGTTTGTCAGGTACTTCATTATCAAGCATGGTTAGGTCTGCAATTTCCCTTGAGTACTCTGGATTCCTAAAATATTGGCATTGGTGACCAATAGATAAATAAATCCATTCCCCATTTCCATTCTCAATTTTATTTATATTAAGGTAGATAGGGTGTCTTCCTCCATCTTGGATTTTGTAATACCTGAAAACAATCGGTCTAGATCTTTAATAGAATGTGCAAATTTTGAGAGTAGTAGGTAATTCATGTGTAAGAATTTTCATTTCAATAGTTCATAGTAACAGAAGAATTGAATAATAGAAAACAAAAAATTACGGATTTTGGAAAAAGGAGGATGAAAGAAAAAAATTGTAATGTCAGCCTACAGAAGTTTTACATACTTTTAACCACGGTCTAAATGACAGCTATTTCGCAGGTGTGTTTTAGTTTTATTTATTTGTAGAAAGTCATATTAAACACCATCCATACTTTGACGGTATACAATAAGAACTGATTTTTATTTTAGCACAAGACCTTTACTCATTTAATGGACCATGTGAAGCAGGACTTCTTCGCTGTTTTATCCCTGTTGGAGCACACACTATCTTCTATTAAGAAACAGTTACCACAAATCACAGAGGCATACCTTAGATCTGACAACGCTGGTTGTTACCATTGTGGTCAGCTGTGGCTAGCAATACCAAGTTTGTCAGAAAGAACAGGTAACATTATATTACTTTCACCGAAATACAAATATGGAGTTTTTTAGGATTTTGTTTTGGTACCATGCTCAACATAATAGGAGGGGGAGGGCATAGAAATAACAGTGAGTTATGTCCCTTGGAAATGTTAATGACATAAATTGCTTTGTAAGGGCTCCTACATATACCATAATTGCTAGGTTTTTATAAAACTTGTATCAAACATTGTCAAATGCTTATTCAAGAATGAGCAATTTCTGGGAAAAATTATTACACCAGGGTTTTTGATATCATAAACTAGTCAAAACATTTACTAAATTTTATCATCGGTATAAAGGACATCATTCGTAAATATAACTCAACATGCAGACATCTTATACGTTCGGGTATTTCACATCCAATCTTTTATGGTAATATTCTTTACAAAGCACAAAAATGTCAGTATTCACCTCAAAAGCTAACAAAACCTTTAAACAGACTTATTAAGAAGGGATATAGTTATGATACTGTTGTCAGGTCATTAAAGATTGTATATTTTGGCTTTAATATTGATTCACTTATACATGTTATAGGGTCTTTGCATCTGAATTAAACACATTTATTCTAAAACCAGTTGTTGGCATGACACGGGTTATGTTCTTCTCATATATTTTATGACAGTATAATACTAAACCCCTAACAGGAGGGATTGTGCCCGATATTCATATGATGAAGACGTAATCTTGTCATAATGTCAGTAACTGCTAGTAGTCTGTTGTTATTTATGTATTATTGTCATTTTGTTCATTTTCTTTTGTTTCCTATTCTGACATCGGACTCGGACTTCTCTTATACTGAGTTTTACTTTGCGTACTGTTGTGCGTTTGTTTTTTCTACATAAGCTAGAGGTATAGGGGGAGGGTTGAGATCTCAAAAAACATGTTTAACCCCGCCACATTTTTGCGCCTGTCCCAAGTCAGGAGCCTCTGGCCTTTGTTAGTCTTGTATCATTTTTAATTTTAGTTTCCTGTGTATAATGGAGTTTAGTATGACGTCCATTATCACTGAACTAGTATACATATTTGTTTAGGAGCCAGCTGAAGGACGCCTCCTGGTGTGGGAGTTTCTCGCTGCATTGAAGACCTATTGGTGGCCTTCAGCTGTTGTCTGCTCTATGGTCGGGTTGTTGTCTCCTTGACACATTCCCCATTTCCATTCTAAATTTTATACATGTATATCCTGCTCCACATTTGTAAATTTTAATCCATCTCCAACATAAAGATAAATTAAGGAACAAGTGAAATGTACTGTAGGATAATATACCTTTTGAAAGGAATTTTAAAATTGGTGTATTTGCTGGACCAATTCACTAACATTTAAAGATGAATGCGAGGAAAAAATAAATATTTTAACTTCAAGCCAGTTTGTGTTAGTATCACCAAGATCTTGTTCACACTCGTTACAAAAAGTAAGTTTGTCAGGGTCATCTATCTCCAAAAAAAAGAAATAAGGTCAAAAGACACTACCAGAAGCCCTCTCGACCAATCATATTATCTTATTCCTTAATATGCAAATCATATAAGAATTATTTCAATATATATGTTTACTCTCATCAATGTTTGTAGGTTGTATCTTTATAAATATGAAAAAAACAAAAGCATTATTTATTTTTTTAGGGATACAAATCAAACGTTATGATTATAGTGAGGCCCAGAGTGGCAAAAGCTACTGTGATGCTAAAATTGCCCATATGAGACAAAAAATGAGAATTTTCTCTGCAGAAGGCCATAACATCACTACAGCTATGCAGATGAAGGAAGCGATTGATAGTGGAGCTGGAGTTAAAGGAGTTTATACATCAGTTGTGGATGTTGATACAACAAAGCATCAGCTTAAAACACATTCTTGGAAAGGTGTAAGCTTTATCACGAATGTAGAGTACACAAGTTCTGGAATAAAAACATGGAAAGCATACAGAATAGGAGATGGTTGCTTTATCGACAACAACAAGGTAAAGCAAATGTTTCGCGGTGAACAACCAGCTACTTGTTTACAGATCATCAGTGATGACTTTCAAGATCATGAGTCATCAGGGCATATCAATCTAAAACAAGGAACATCAGCAGAAATTCATGAACAACATGTATCATCCAACCAAACTGCCTTAGCAAATG